ACACACACACACACACACACACTCTCTGAAGCCCTGCTTTCATGACGCTGATGTCATGCTCCGAACTGAAGCGTGTTTCCAGCTGCTGTGGAAACTCCAGCCGGTTCAGCGTTGAAGTTTAATCAGTGACGTTCTCACAATCATCTCCACGGTGTCCAGAGGTCGTTCAGGTGTAAACACATCCCAAGTTTAGATTTAGGGTGAGGCAGCTGTTCTTTAACCTGCCAGACAAGAGTCAGGGCAGAAAGTAGCTGCAGTGGTGATCTCTATACCTGTGTCATATTTTCAGCTTCAACCTGTCCTCCCTGGACAACCTCTCATGAAGCCTGAAGCTCTCCTCTTCCTCAGAGAAGATGCTAAGTGACCTGCAGGTGAAACGATGAAGATGATGGTTGTTTTGTTCTCTGCAGCCGTTCTTTGAGCGTCTGGTGAAGAGGAAGTGGCTGAGCAACTTGGAGCCCTACGAGCATATTGAAGCTCTCGTCAAGGAGGACTTCAAGACGTACCGCAGGATGGACAACCCTCCGTATCAGGTACGTAGTCACATGATGGTGTCGCAACGCAGCCTGCAAGTGGGCGATGTCTTCATCCCCCACGTGTCTCTGCCCCATAGCTGCTGGTGGCAGAAGTCCACCGGCGGGTGGTGATGGAGTACCTCCGGTCGGTCATGAGAGGAAGAATCATCTGCACCTCCATGAAGATGAGGAAGAGGATGGCTGGCCGCCTCCGAGATGAAGGCAAACAGATCAAAGTTCTCTTCAAAGAGCTGGTTAGTTGTTTTTAAATCCACAGTGCATGCACAGGTCCATCAGGACTTTGGTTCTTTGCTTCTTGAGGCTGTTCCAAAGAACATTTCTCTGAAGTGAAGAGCTGATGAAGTTTTTCAGATAAAATCATCAGTCTTTAAAAACTAAACCCTGTTCTCTCTGCAGGAATAAAACAAAATCAAAGATTAAAACAAAGAAAGAAAAAAAAAACAGGCAGAAATACAGACTGTGGTGTCTTCTGCATGCTTGTGCTACCTTCAGGGGCCTTCAGTGCATCTGTTGTGACTTCAGGGTACCCGTGGTCTCTTCAGTGTATCTGAGGTGCCTTCATGGTACTTGTGGTGCTTTTAAGGTACCTGTGATGCATTCAGGTTGCATGTGTTTTTTTGGGGAAGTGGTACATGTGATGCCTTCAGGTTACATGTGGTGCCTTAAGGTTACACGTGGTGCATTCAGGGGACCTAAATCTGGTCCTTGTAAACATGAAACAAAATGAAACGTTCTTTTAGTGAGGAGGTCCAGTCAGGTGTAGGTCAGCACCAAACGTCTTCTCATCATAAAACCTCGTTAAGAGCTCGTTATGTTCAGGTTCTAACTGTGTTTGTCTTCCAGGAGTCTCCGTCCAGCTGGTTGGACAGTGCTCTGTCCCACATCTCAGAGATCATCCAGCTGGAGGATGTCCCGTCCATCCAGATGGAGGTGGGGGTTCTGGTCCGGGAGTTTCCAGACATCAGGTACTCAGAACCTTTAGTCAAACTAAACAACAAAGACGCACGTTTTTCACCAGGACTCTACAACCACACACGTTCTCTCTGTGGCTTCAAGTCGTCAAAAAAAGTTTCATTTCAGTTCGAAGGATTTTATTATTATAGTTAAAGGATTTTATTTCCACAGAACTGAAATGAACAGACATCCAAAACCAGGAAGGAGTTCTCACAGATCTCTGCCAGACTCTTATTCTGGAGAGTATCTCTGAGATTTATTTTGAAACTCCAAGTTCAGTTCTTTTCCTGTTTCCTGCCGACCCTCTGACTGAATCCTCCGGAGCATCAGAGCTCTGATTAGACAACATGAAGGATCTAAGGGGGCGGCCATGATGGAAACATAGGAGGAAGGAAAGCATGCTGGGTCATATAGAGGTCCCAGCAGCTGCTGAGTCACTGGTTACCATGGTGACAGAAAGGGGAGGGGCAGCTGCGCTTCAGGCAAAACCACAGAGTAAAAAGTAAGCCTCAGATAAACAGTCCCTGTGTGCGAACTACAAATTGGATCAAAGAACATCTTGACCCTTGAGCAACAGAAGGTTCTGTTGGTACCACAGGTTCTGTTTGATGGTTCTACAGGGTTTATTGGAGGAGATACAAGTTCAATAGAGACTTCACTTCCTGTTTAGAGCTCAGATAAAATGGAAGTCAATGAGAGTTTGGGTGTGTGACCTCTGACCTCTGAGAGGAGCTGAGGTTTGGATGAATGGTCTGTAGAAGAAGTGGATAACTGTGACCCGGTTAAACTGAATGGTGGTTCTGCTGTAGAGGTCCAAACAGGACTGGGTCTTTGTCTCTTCTGCTGAACTCGTCCCCTTCCGTCTTTCTGTTCAGGAAGAAGCACGTGTCGGCCATATTGAACATCCGGGGCATGACCAGGCAGGCGGAGCGTCAGGAGATCACCAACATCGTCAAAGACATCGAGAGCAGCGACGTTGGGCCGGGCCCTCCGGCCCGGGACCGCGCCCTGTTCTCCGAGGTGCCGGTCACCTCCGAGGTCCACTGCCTGAACCTGGGCCTGAGCCGCGTCGCCCTCACCGCCTCGTCCTGCATCGCCTCGCTCAGACCTCGTCGACGCAAAGCCCGAGCGCCGGTCCAGGAGAACCCGGAGGATGTTCTGTGAACGAGTCCAGGTTTGGTTTGGAGGTCGGGACCTTTTACCGGACCTCCTGTCTGCTGGTGGAGACATTCGGGATTTCTAGAACCTTCAAACTGTTTCAGACTGAACTTGTTTTTTCCTGACTGGATTTGTTGGGATGAAAGAATTTTCATGTTGGGGAACCGAAGTAGGAACACTTAGAACCTTAGACCCAGGTCCATGGAAGACCGGACTGTGGGACCGGGAGGAGAAAGATGATGACGACTGATAGTTAATGTGAGATGAAAGGATGAAGATGAACGTTTTCCCAGTTGAAATCTGGATCTCGAGAGGAGTCAGAGCTGAACTTCAGGAACAAAACCAGAAACATCTGCAGCTCTTCGGTTTATTTTGTTGAAGCTTTAACCAGAACGAAGCTGAGCAGAACCGATTTAACCCTCCGGTCTTCCTGATCCGGCTTTGGATCCACAGCCTTTCATGCTTCTTCCTGCAGAACTTTTTGACTGAACGGCACTTTATCCATGAGCAGTGAAGGGACAGCAGTTCTCCGAGGAAAAAAGGTTTGAAAGCTCAATCCTCCAGGTAAATAAATCACTAAAAAGTTTAAATCAGGTCACCTGGACAGTTTCTTTTTGGGAGAAAAGTTTTGTCTTTCATCCAAAAGACTTCATCAGTCTGAGGTCTGCCACCAAGAACTGTCTTATAAATAGCACCTTCTTGATGCGTTTCAAACCAGTCTGCTGTGGAATTCCCAGAAACTGTCTGTTCTCTGAGACTCAAACGGACCTGAAAGTCCAGGTGACGTCTGATGAAGTGCCTTCTCTGATCCTCACCTGGACCCAGGAGACCCTGCAGACCCCTGGAGTCCTGCTCAGCTCTTTGAGATCTGGGTTTTATGATGATTCAAGGTTAGTTTCGTGGATTTCTGAAGCACCGCTAGTTTTGAAGGTGCTTCTGGTCGGTCGGCTGAGACTTCACTTTGTTGGCGGGGAGGTTCCCGCTTCGTTTGTTGTGAACGAAAAGGTCAAAGGTCGTTGGTGGCAACGTGTCCATCTGCTGGGTTGATGGTTGCCAGATCAGAACGTTCATCTCACCAACACGAAAAGACGATCTGATGCCAGTACCTGACTGAAAGACTACAAACCATGAAATGAAACATGTCAGAGGACAACTTCCTGTTCTCGGTGGGCGGGGCTACGGCGACGATGGAATATTGACAAGTAGATGAGTTGTGGACCAAACCAGGGTCGAACATCCACGTGCAGGTCAGATGTTTCATCTGTGAGTTATTAACATTTTGTTAAAAATAAAAATCTATTTGAAGGTGTTCCTAAAATTCCACTAAAGCTCCAAAAAGGAAATAAATAATAATAATAAGAAAAAAAACAGGGTGATGTCACTCATACTGGGCAGTGCCTTGGATGCTCAGGTCCAATGACCACCTCCATTAAAAAGGAGGAGACCATCTATCAAGATCCAGCCACTTGTTGGACTCGGTGGACGTCTGTCCTGCACATGGTGATAACATCCGCCTGAGGTCCGTCTGAGGTACTGGACCAGTTGGACCTTCAGCTCATCACTGGTCTTATTGGTCCTTCCCTTCAGTAGGAAGGTCTCCTCCCATAACAGTCCGGGCCTTTACCTGCTTTGACCTTTGACCTGCGACCTCTCCTGAACCCGATCAGATGAAAGTTAACTTCCCGATCCTGAGCAGAAACCGGAGCGAAAATGAAAAGTTTAATCAAAGGTACTTCAGATTTTGTTCATACTGTGTTTAAACTGGACCAATCTGATCATGAATGTGAGGAAAAAAAGTTTGATTTGTAAAATATTTTAGATTTTAAAGCAGAATTTCTGGTGTTGGTTTGTGTTCAGATGCAGAGATAGTGAAAGGAGGGCTCACTCTTGTCTATATTTAACAAACATTTCACGTTTAAACGATTCACAAACTTTGTTGACATTTCTGATGTTTCTTCTGGGAATTGACTGATGTCCTTCACGAGGACTTGTTCTGATTTAATAATTAACAGTTTTACAAACAAAACATTTTTATTAGCGCAGACATCTTTGTCTAATCTGGTGTTTGTCACATTAATCTCTCACAAATGTCAAATGTTTCTAATTTTGTCCAGCGATCCGATGTTAACAGCAATAAATCAGATTAAACCACTGACTGTTGGTCATTTATTTGTTTTAATAAAATGTTGGTGTGAATTAAAAAAATTGTACTAAATTCTTATAAAAAAAACACCACAAATACCAAATAAGTTATTCCAATTAGAAAACCATACTCTTATTTTGAAACTCACAGATAAAACCTTTTCCTGTTTTTTGGGAATTTAAATCCCACTTTCTACAAACGTTTTTATTCAGTTCTTAACTTCACTCAGAACAAAATGCTTGAGGTTCTCCAGGACCTCTGGGGGCGGCCATGATGGAAAACAAGAACAAAGAAACTGCCGAGTTGCCGTGGCGATTCCCACCTTTTCTGGGGCACAGAGGGAGGGAAAACTGATTTAGTCTCAAACAGTTGCTGTGTGAAAACTAGAATTCTGTTTAACAAAATTCTTAAATAATACACAACACTTTTTTTATGTTTCATGTTATGGAGTTAAAATGAGTTTTCAGTTCATGAAATAAACTTTTTCTTGTTTTTGATTTTTAAATCATGTTCTTGCTTTATTTGTTAGCCTTCTATGATAAAATAATGTAAAACCGTTGAGTCCTGGTACTATACCTGGTACATACTTTTATATTAAAAAAAGGTGGAGAGACCTGTATCAGCCAGGAACTGCTCACTGACTGCTTATGAGAACAGGCAGCATCAGCGGTCAGTCAGGTCAACCCACTCCTGCTGGTCACAGAACTGGACCCTACCAGGTACTGACCCATACTAGATGGGTCCAGTCAGTGTGGCTCTATGGCCAATCTGTGTTAACTGGACAAGTTATCAGAGCCTCCGTCAAACAGCTGCAGCAGCCTGGAAGGAATGGAGCTGTAAATATCGGAAGTGGTCACTTTCAGCCAATTAGGAGACCGTGTTGAAGATAACAGGCTGGACCAGAAGAAATGGAGACTGAAGAATCACTCTGCTTGTGTGTGTTTAAAGGGTAACTTTTCATATTTTCATAACCAGAGAAATGAGGTGTCTGTCCTTTATGTATAATCGTATGACGTAATGCAGTTCTAGCTGGTCCTCTTTGTTTAAAGACATGAAATAGGAGGAGGAGTCTGTGTTTATCTGTGAATGCATAATTATCAGGAGATTATAAAAAGCATATGCACAACAGAGCTGGGGCTTTTCCTGGGGACATTTTGAGGTTCTTGGAGCTTTTTGCTTTTGAACTTGGACAATAAAATGCCTCCTGTTGCCCTTGGATCATTTTGGCCCAGAGGTGACGGGAGAGTTCACAGTGGTTCCCAACTCTGGTCCCTGAGGAACACCATCCTGAATGGTTTTATTGTTTCTCCGCTCCAACACACCTGATTTGAATGAATGGGTGATTAGCAGGCTTCTGCAGAAGTAATTAAATTGCTGAATCAGGTGTGTTGGAGTATAGAAACTAAAAGTGCAGGATGGTGTTCCTCAAGGACCAGGGTTGGGAACCACTGGTTTAGAGAATCAGCATTTTTCTTAGTTCAGTTTATTCTTTTTGTCTTTTAATTTTTAGGGGGTTAGAGGTAGAAGTCATGTGAGGGTGTAGTTGTAGACTGCAATACATTTTATTTTTCCTTTTTAATTTTTATATAACCTAAACTAATGCAAGTTTTTAAATGCACACCTTTTTTATACATCTTTCACATTTAATAAAACAGGATGAGATTTGATTAATAGTAGAGATTAATCAAAGGGGTCTGAAACTGTGCCTTCTTAAGAAAATTTTTGTAAATTAAAATTAAAAAGTCTGAAATCAGATTTGATGCAGTTTATTCAGGAGTCATTCGTCCAGAGAGTAAAATAATTCAAAGTTAGTGAGAAGTTTCATCCCACACAGATGAAAAGATCAGAAACAAATTATGAAAACAAGAAGAAAAAAGGTGATTCATCCACTAAAGGATCATGGTAGTTTTTATGCTGTAACTTTGGACTTTAATTTTACATCTCAGATTTTATTTTCTCAGAAATTAAAATGAAATCTGTTTAAGATGTTTTGTTTTTATTGACGTTATATAACATTATCTGTAGACAAATCAGAGATGATGGAATAAACAAAGTTTAGTTTTGTTTTCAAGTTTTGTCCACCACCTGAGAAACCTCCAAATAAACACTATTTAATGTTACATTTTTAATGCTGCTTTATTTTGGCGGAGTTAGTGGGCGGGGCTACACTTTGTCAGCCTTTACCAAAATAAGAGACAAACATTAAAACAGCACCAACAGTTATTTTAGGCTAAATAAATACTCTGACATGTACAGTAAAAATATAAAACAGCTGAGTTCAAACTTTTTTACAAATCCCACCCCACAAAAAAGACCCGAGCCACTGCCAGAACCAGAACTGGACTCTGAGCAGAACCAGTATAATCAGAGATGTGTTAGTACACAACGCGAGAACAAATGGATGAAGCAAAATAAAAAAAACAGAAAAAACACAAACAGGTCAGCGTGGAACGGTGAAGTCTTTGGGTTGAATCTGATCCTGGGTCTGTTCTGAAACTGGAATCTTGAGCTAAAAGTTTTATTTCTTAAGATAAAAACTTTTTTTAGACAGAATGAAAAATCACAAATAAAAGAATATGGTCATGGTGTCACATCTGGAAAAGTCCTAAAACATCTGCAATGTCTGCGTCACAGCCAACCAATCAGAATTCATTCAACAGGTTAGTCTCATTGATCCTCAGTTCAATCTGAGCTGGGGGCGGGGCTAAATGTTTGACGGCGCAAGGTGAGATTTGTGGCAGCCATCTTGTTAGGAATGGCATGGTGGCACAGTTGGTAGAGCTGTTGCCTCTCAGCGAGAAGGTTGCTAGTTCAAATACTGACCCGGTTTGGGTTTGCATGTTCTCTCCGTGCATGTGTGGGTTTTCTCCAGGTGCTCCAGTTTCCTCCCACAGACCAAAAACATGCATGTTAGGCTGATTGGTAACGCTAAATTGTCCCTAGATGTGAGTGAGAGTGTGAATGGTTGTTAGTCTATTTGTCTCTATGTGTCCCTGTGATGGACTGGAGACATGTCCATGTACCCCGCCTCTCATACAGTGATAGCTGGGCATGGGCACCAGTGACCCCCATGACTCGAAAAAGAAGAAGCGGGTAAAGATAATGGATGGATGGATGAATCTTGCTAGGAGTATCAACTCTGTGCTGTTTGTAAGTGGAAGTAACACGTTGACCATACACCGTGCCATCAGTCCAGAAACACGTTGAAATATATATTTTTTAATATATATATCACACATCTTATGAAATTATAGAAAAACAAGATAACACTAATGAACCTCCTGCAAAGTCCACCTGAAACCTGAACTCTTATAAACAGTTACTATATTCTAGTTAGCTAGTGTTCATCTCAGTGACGTAATCATCCTGACCAGACCAGAACCTCCATCCATCTTTACAGCTTCTTCCATGCAGCGTCGCTGGTGCCCATGTCCAGCAGTAACAGTGTGAGAGGTGAGGGACACCTGGACAGGCCTCCCGTCCACCACAGGGACACCTGGACATGTCTGCAGCCCATCAAAGGGACCAGACCAGAACAGAACTGCACTTTAAAGTATTTTAAGGTCTTGAGATGTTAGTCTAACCAGAGTCTGGAGTTTAATAATCTAAACTCTTATTTTTCTCTCATAGTTCTGTTAATATTTAGGCCTTATGTAACACAGATTTCAACGTTTAAATATAGATAACTAACCCTTTGTTCAGCTAATTCACTATTAAAGAGCAAGTTTTACACATAAATAAAAGGGTGAAATAAGTTTGTAGGCTAATGGCTGTTGTTTTGAAAATATGTTCATACTGATGATATATTTTCAGTTGTCAGGTACACGTTTACCCCCAGTTCTCTGCTTTACAGTAACTACAGCAGACTAAAGACAAGGACAAGCCCTGATAAAATAACAGAAGGCTTATAGATGAGTATTTCCAGAGAAAACATTAAACATTCCTTGAAGTTCAGATTGTGATAAATATAATAACTGATGGTAAAACATTACAGACCGTAACTAAGAACGCCATGTAGCACCTGCCAAGATGGCTGCACAAATTCCCACCTTGTTAACATAGACTGCACTGTGGCTGACCTTTTACTGGATTTCTATTTCAGTGGGAAAAACCATTCCAGCAGCCAATGTTGCATCACATTCAGATATTTCTTTAAGCAAGATCTTAAAAAATACACCAAAACAAACATTTGGATGCTACTGATAAACTTTTCTGGAAAATGTTCTTATCCTTTTTAAAACTATATTTTTCACTCCTGCCCATTGTGTTTCCAAATAAAACCTAATCAAAGTTGTGTACTTTTTATTAATATATAATCTGATTCAAGAGCAGCTCTTAGTAAAGAGTCCTGGTGTTCATCAGAGTTGTGTTCTCAGTCCTTTATGATTTGCAGTTTAGTTCTTTTTTGTTGATGTCTGTAAAAGTTTACAAGTGCTACTTTTGTTTTCTAATTATAATGATCATTTTAAATTATCCCACATCTTTAGACAATTTTTAATTCAAACAAAAAAACTGTAAAGAAGTTCCTGTGGATTTGTTCCCAACATCATTTTGTGTTTGTGTGACAAACTGAACAATTGGCATGTTTTTTTAAACAGAGAATTAATAATAACTGATGGAACCTGAAGTCTTCCCACATCTGGTCTAAAAGAAGCTTTATTTAGAAAAATTACTTGTGGACAAAAAAAAAAAATGCTATACTACAACTCAACAACCAACCCTAACCCTTAAAATAGACAATTTTCTAAATCCAGCTGAAAATAATGTTGGGATTGTCCAAATGAAAAAAAAAATACTGTTATTGCCATTCATTCGCTTTTCCTGTTTTGTTTTGGTTTCATTTTCTACTCAACTACTAAACAGGAGTTTAGGAGCAGAAAAATCATCCATCTTGATTATTCTGAATGAATAAACATTTTTTTTAGAAAAAGTTCCAGTTCTGTTGGCAGAAGGTTTTAAAAACATTGTTCTTGGGACGTCTTTCCTGTTGGTGATTCAGATAAGTTAGGCTGAGCCATTGCTCACAATTGGTAAAAACATGTTTTCTGTCAGTTGCCCAGGTTTTTCTTTCTATGGCCCAAAGGAAGCAGGAGAACAGGCACTGTCACATGTAAACACATCGCCACAGAAAGGTTCGATTTTAAACAAAAGCAAACTGTTTTTGCTCCTGAATCGATCTCAGAACTGGTTCGGTTTGACAGAAACGTCACATCCCCTGGTCAGAATGAGCTCATTTACCTCTGGTCTTTACAAAACCAGTTTTTTTTCAGAAACCAGATGTTTACCTGAGTATTTTCTTATTTTCTTACTTCTGAGGGCCTGAAGGTTAAAAACACATGACTGAAGTCAGAGTCGTTCAGATAAATTACAGCTAAAGTCGGTTAATGTCTCGGTATCAATAATTATCCATACATCAAGCTTTACAGAAACAGTGACATCATACCCAGTTCAAACATCTGTCCACTGGGGTGCTGCTCCGAGTCTCTGCTGATCCATTGACAGAGCAGATGATTGGCAACATCTCCGTGTCTCCTCACAGAGACAAACAAAATGTCTCCGTCCCTCCAGGACAAAGAAGTCCCTTGTACAGGAGGTGAAACGGTTTCTCTTCCCAGCAAGAGGTGGAGCTACTCCCAGCAGGAGGCGGAGCTCCACCCTGTCACAGGTGAATGCAGACTTGACACTTGGCGACATGCTCCACCTGCTGCGTGGGGTCGCTGAGCGTGGTGGAGACGTTGCCGAGCGTGGTCAGCCAGAAGCTGTAGATGTTGGAGAAGAAGTGGCAGGTTCCTCGAGCGCCCTGACACTCCATGAACAGGTGAGCTCTGAACTCGGGCAGGCAGCTTCCTGGAGACGTCAGGGAGTGACCGCCACCCTCATCGCCTCCACCTGTATACTGTCAGTCACACACACAGGAAGTGACATCATCACATCTTTTCTACACATATGACTGAAGGGTGTCAGGACCTAATGAACCTGAACTGGTCTTTACCAGGTTTTAAAATGATTCCAGTTGAGCCTCAGATAAACAAAAACATCAGGTTACACCGAGTCAGTGTTCACAAAAAACTGGTTCCAGTCCTTGATCCAGAACCTCCTTCAGCAGCAAAACTCTCAGTGGTTTTCAATAGGACTTCATCAGTCTCTTTCATAATCTCTCTCTGAGTTATTGGGCATGGACTTTGATGTTTTGAACCACTTTGGCTATGGCTGCCTCAGAGGAGTCGACAGGGGAGAGGGCAGCCCCCAGAAACCATCTTATCAGCAAACTGGTTGGCCTACTATGTGAGTGTGCTGCTTGTGGGATTGAGTTTGTTTTTGGCTCCTTGGACTGACAAAGTCCTTTGGATGAAAGACGAAACATCTCAACCAAAAAAGAAATTGTCCAGAAGACCTGAGTTAACTTTGTTGGATTTTTTTACTTGGATTATTGAGCATGAACTTTGAAGTCTCTCTCATGGTTGTGGAGGAGTTTGGCCCACTCTTCTTTCCAGAGTTGCTTCAGTTCATTGAGGTTTCTGCTCAGATCTCTGAAGGTCCACCAGAGTATTTCAGTCTGGTTGAGGTTCTGGACTCTGGCTGGACCTTTGCTGCACCTTCGTTCTTTTTTTTTTTTTGATCCGTTCTATTGTAGATCAGCTGCTGTGTTTGGAATAATTTCTTGTTGAACTCAGTTTGGTCCAGATGTTAGACAGATGGACTCACATTTCACTCCAGAGGTTCCTAACCTTTTCAGCTTCTGACTCACAAGAACCACGCATCAAAGACCCGAGAGCCCAGAACTCTTTGGATGAAGTATAGAAACATTAACAAGCCATCATATTCATTTTAAACCTTCACTTTTAATATTTTTTTAACAACTGTGACAAAAATATTCTGTTAGTATCTAAGTTAAATCAGATCCTTTTTTAGATTTTTCTACCTGGATTATTGAGCATGCATCAGGATATTCTGTAAGTAGTTCATAAAATTTCTAAAGTTCATCTCAAGACCTTCAGCTTGATGTTTGCTAACCTACAGTTTGGTTCAGACTCCGGCTAGAGTCTGAGATGGAGATAATTTCTCTGATCACTGCACAGTCTGACCTTTAGGGGGAATCTGCTGTGAATCTCGTCAGCTGTCTGATCTGTTACACTTCCTAAGATAAAATAGTTAGTTTATAGAAACTCATTAGGGGGGCTCTCACCCCTCCCCTTCGTGCCTGTCCTAGTGTTTCCAGAACCGAACCTGTCTGAGTCCAGTCCAGGGAGAAAAGGAAAACATTTTCAATGTTTCTTACGAGGGGGACGTGATAAGCATCTCTGCCTATCAATATGGGAAGGGTTGTGATGGAAATATATTATTTACTGATCTGCTTCCTGATACAGTATTGTATGTATTAAACAATAATATTTAACTGTAAACTTTTCCTTATTTGATTCTGTGTCATTTTGATCTGAATCTGAAATATGTTTTTGATGCGTTGGTATCACTGTCTGTAGAATGACAGCTGGGCATGAGCAGCTGTCTGCTCCGGAGCAGCAGGACCTCCTGATGAGGACCAGCTTAACTGGAGGTTCTGGTGATCTTGAACCTCTGAGATCCTGGGGAAGCAGCAGGACTGGACCCAATTATTTTTTGGTTTCTGTTAAAAAAAATAACTTGTTGGGACCTGCCGGTTGTTTTTGTTCTCTTGAGGTTATATTTGAATAATTTTAGAACCCGTTTTATTTTTACTGCTTGATACATGAACGCTTGGACCTGAGAGAGGCTGGACATCTTCCCATGAATACGTTATGTTTCAGTGTCCAACATGGACTGAGGTAACAGGAAGTACAGAAGACCCTCAGGTGGCTACACTTTATCCCTCCTGCCGTCAGAGATCTGTTTATGGTTGTCACCTGTAGGAAGGGTTAGTGTGTTGGTACTCACCATTAGGAAGGAGTTTCCACGCCATAAGCCCTTCCAGTTCTCGGGGCACTCCGGTGGCTCTTTGGAGTTGGGGTCGTGCAACGCCACAGCTGAGGTGGGCGCTTCACACACCACACAGCGGCTGATGTGGTTTCTGATGGAGGTTCCGTCAAAGGGTCTTTTTGGAGCCTTGTCCTTTGTTGATAACCAGTAGGATTTATCGTTGCGGGAGGCGTACCTGCAGCCTCGAACACCGCAGACGAAGAATGGCATGGTGGAAAACACCGGCATGCACGAACCCGCCTGACCTGGAAACAAATGGTCCAAAGAAATCAAGTTAAATACTTTCAGCAGAGAAAGAAAGTTCTGGTCCTGCATGAAGGGACCTTGTTCAGTTTATGTGGATTGTCTTGGAGCAGATATTTGCAGATTGGTATTAGCAGTTCAGTGTTTCCCCTACATTACTTGCCTTAGCAGGGCGCCCATCTCGTTCATGATTTACACGTGTGTACGGGGGGTGAGGGGGGAGTGGACACAGAGATACGTCTGCGTTGTGCACTGTTTGTACCAAAATATTTCCAGCTGGGGTGGGGGGGCGTTGTTGGGTGCTCAGCGTGAGGGAATTGGAGCGCTACCTTTAGCTTTTTAGCTAGCGCATCTGTATTGCGCACTGTTAGCTTACCGCTACGTCAGTGCTGGGAGTTGTCGAGCGGGGGTCGGTTTGGTCCAGTAGGCAGGGTGGTCGGTTCTGTTGACAGGGCGGGGCACCCTGCTTGTATAATGGTAGGGGAAACACTGAGTTTAACTGAGATTAATGCAGCAGGCTGAGTGATGAAACAGGTTGGCAGGGAGTCGGAACAAACGGAGGGGGAAAGTAAATGGATCAGTTCTGGTTTATATTCAGAGGAAATTGATGGATGTTGTGTGACTGTGAACATGTGGGGCAGGGCACAAGTTCCCTGGTTTGGTACATGGTTCTGTAAGTGCAGTATGTTTGTGTACCCAAGTCCTGAGGATGAGCCCGTTCTTGACCCTCCAGGTACAGCAGACTGTATCCATCCCACAGACGGCTCGTGTCTGGGGGGCACGTGGGGACATGGACTGACTGGCTGTGGATCACTAACAAAAATCCCAGGTTCAGGTTCTCAGTCTTTCCGTCATAACCCTGGTCACCGGTCATACCTGGTTCACCTGCAACACAAGGATCACATGACAGGAAATTCCTGCAACAAAAAACACCTGGGCCATGTCAACGACAATTAAACTAATCAAAGGTTCAGTATTACTTAAAGGAATACAGATCCCCACCTTAAAAAAAGTGTTATGTTGAATTAAAAAAATCTATATATTCCCTATTTTACCTGTGAGGTAACATTCACACAGTCCAACTGCTGAGAGTCTGTGTTTAAACAACCGTTCTCATGCTTATCAGAAAATGATCTCAGTCTAAAACTGAGCATGAAAGGCAGCGGTGATGAGCATTTATGACATGCACCTTGATCTCCGTCCATCCCTGTCTCCCCCATCAAACCAGCTTCTCCTTTGGCTCCCTTTTCACCATCAGGTCCCTCAGAACCGATTGGTCCACGTTCCCCATGATTCCCTTTTAAACCTGAAACATCAACAGGATCATCAGACAGAACCTGGGCACCATCTCCTTCCTGCTGAGTCCAGTTTCTCACCTTTCTGTCCAGTTGGACCAGTTTCTCCACTCGGGCCCTTTTCTCCAGGTGGACCATAGGGTCCAGGTTGTCCTTTGAGGCCATTTATTGGTGATGAGTAAGGGCCACATGGGAGTACTCGTCCTTTCTCCCCCTTTGGACCACACGGTCCATCTGATCCCTTTGGTCCTTTTGCCCCACGGAGGCCCGGATCACCCTTTGAACCTTGAGTACCAGTTTCTCCCAGATAACCGTAATCCCCTCTTGTACCTTCCAAAAACATAAACACAGATTCAATGTAACAAACAGGAGAGGAATCCACTAAAAAATAGTTTTATTGTAGGATTCATTTTGTTTTTTAAGCTGACATCATTAAGTGGACTTTGTGGTACCAAACATTACTGACATTAACTGTGACCTGACTCTTGCATTTGAGGAGGTCTTTGAACCTGTTCTGACCTGGCACAAACACACCTGAGTGAGTCATCTGCATTCAGAAGAAGCTAAAACCAGGTCTGAATGGTTTCAAAGTGGATTGAAACCAGTTTTTCTCTGGAGTTAGAACTTTGATGTGATGAAGGTCTCATGACTAAAACAACCTAAATCTTTAGGCACATACAGGAACTGAGTCTAACCTTGTGGACCCGGGTCTCCAGGGCATCCTGGTGGGCCCTGACACCCATCTGGTCCTTTAGGCCCTTTAGGCCCCTGGCATCCTGGATCACCATTGTCCCCAATGTCTCCACAGATGGGAGGGTTTGGACCTGGATCACCTCTTTCTCCAGGGCACCCTGAAACATGAAACCTAGGTTAGTGGCCTTCAGTGGGAACGGTCTCTTTATATTTAATTAAACCTGTTATGGAGCATGATCATTTACCTGGGTCTCCATCTGGGCCCTTAGAACCAAGATCTCCACGAAGTCCTGGATATGGAATTTTACAGTCATCCCCAGGAGGACCTGGTGGTCCAGTGACACCTTCAGGTCCTAAAACAGAACAGGAACCCAATCAGTGGTCCGATTTAAAAACGATAGCTCTGCTGGTTCAACACTAACACTGGTGTAGCAGACCTTTAGGGCCTGGTGAGCCTTGGGGTCCTGGTGGTCCTGGAATAGATGAACAACAAGGACCTTCAGGGCCTTGAAGACCTTTCTGTCCTCGAGTCCCTGGGAAACCTGGAGGACCCTGCATACTGAGACCTGAGGAGAACAACAGATATTTTGAGGAAACTGTAATTATTAAGATTTGACAAATGATGAACAATCTCTGTAATCTAACTTAAAATCAGTTAAATAGTTTTCATTTGTTCTGACCCTCAGCAACACGTTTTCAGGGTGTATGAATAACTTGTTTAGTGTGTTTGAGGCTCAAACCTCTGGTGCCCATGACGCCTTTCTCTCCTTTCAGTCCGTCCAGTCCATGAAGTCCTGGAGGTCCAGGAGGACCTGATAAAAATAAAACATTCATCAGAAAAATAAAAGAAGAACCCCTGAATTTTTACTCACTGGATTTTCTCAGGGTTTGGATTAGATAAACGAGTAACAATCTGAAACTGAAGTTCTATTCTATGCAGACGATGTGATATGTACAACAGAGATGATGCTCAGATGTTTCCACAGATCTTAACTTTAAAATGTGCTTTTTTTAAATGAGCACTTTTTGTCTGAACAAACATCTGTTTGAGTAAAATATATTTCCTAAATATCTAGCATTCTTTGAAGAAATGCATATTGCCTGTCATTAATGTTAGTGTTTAAGATGAAGATCAGCCAGTTTGGAAAAATGATTGCATTTTAACCTCTTTTAGTCCAATCTTTAAAGCTAAACTGGGATTGCGTTCAATGCTGCTAGATGGTGGATAATCTGTTATTACTTGGAGTATTGATTGAGGATGACTCTCAGCTACTACCACACCAACTTTGAGCTAAATATTTATCAAAATGACTGAGTTGAAGCCATTTTGGGGTTTTCTAAGGATGTTGTAAATGTTTATGGGAAGATTTAATAAAATGTGTCCTGTGGTTCATCAGATATTTTGCCAACAGACAGACACACACATAAACGCAAGCAATTACACTATCACCCACATTTCCTCACTGTGTTGGAATAAAACTACATGTCAATAGCTGATTGCTTAATTAAATTGATCATTCTTATTGTATCAATGATGCAAAAGGTTATCCTAAAAAAGAAACTGGTCTAACAACCACCATGGAGGATGAATACGGTTCAGAAGGTGAGAAACATGCTGGCGTAGATTCTCCATTATCCAGGACATGGTAAATACAAAATAAGGTAAAAAAAAACAAAACAGGACTTTTGTTCATTGACTGAAGACATCTCGCTTTCCATCCAGGAGACTTTATCAGTTCAAAAACTGTCTGCAGAGTGTGTGGAGTTCCATAGTTTAAATAACTACATGATCGGCTCAGTTATATACTTAGATTCACATACAGATTGGATTATAACTGCATGTCCCTTACAATAGAGTGTCATTAGGGTTTTTGTCTCCCTTTCCTCCCTCCTGAGGATAATTAAGATTTAACAAATGAAATTATGTATTCACTGGTTAACAAGTCATCAATGGAAAGTGATGCTCATTGCTTCTCCTTTCCCTCCCTCCTGAGGGTCATTAGGGTCTTTGTCTCCCTCCCCTCTCCTTGGAGGATAATTAAGGTTTATGTCCCCCTCCCCTCCCTCCTGAGAGTCATTAGTGTCTTTGTCTCCTTTCTCTCCCTCCTGAGGGTCATTACGATCGTTGTCTGCCTACCCTCTCCTCAGAGGGTCATTAAAGTTTGATGTCCCCCTCCCCTCCCTCCTGAGGGTCATTAAACTCACAGAGATATGTTTTGGTCATCTGCATGAAGGTGTGAATTAGCATGAAACTGACTGGTAATCAGGTTTAATGCTGCTCTATTGGCTTTAGAACATTGAAATCTGAGACCTCCTCTGCTGAGATGGTATAGGGGCAGGGCAGCTGACTCGGGACCCAAATGTCCTGGGTTCGATGCCCGGTCATGGCACATGTCATGGTGTCTCTGAGCTGGACACCCAATCCCGAATTGCTCCCCGGGTGCTTGCATAGCTGCTCACTGCTCCACCTGGTTGTATCCCAGGTGTGATGGGTTAAATGCAGAGAACTAATTTCGTCTTTGTATGGGAACATACAATGATGACAACACATAGCACTTTATGTATTATTATTAAAGATGCTTTATCTCATTTGACATAAATGTATTTCTTTTCACCTCTCAAGCCATCTGTCTTCTCTGTACAACATTTGGATCTTTTGATTCTCAGTAGGTGCTGCAGTAGAGTTGCAGTTATTGCTGCACAGGAGTGTCACACCAGATACAGAAAGCAAAGGTTCACATACTTTTGCCAATCACAAATATGTGATATCGGACCATTTTCCTCAATAAATAAATGACCAAGTATAATATTTTTGTCTCATGTTTTTTCTTTATCTACATTTAGGACTTGTGTGAAAATCTGATCGATGATGTTTTGAGTCATATTTATGAAGAAATATAGACAAATGTAAAGGGTACACAAACTTTCAAGCACCACTGTAGAAGATTCATTATTTACATTTAAAAAGCTGTAACCCATGAAATAAATATGATTTAAACCATTTTAGAGTTGTTCCTATAATCTCAATATCATATTCAAGCCTCTGTATTAAAATATTGTGATCAACTGTATCAAATCCAGCACTGAGGTCTAACAGGACCAGTAAATACATTAATAATTAATTAATAAATTAACAAATAATTAAATAATTATTTTACACAGCATTTATGGGCTCTTTAACATCTAGAAATACTTCAGAACTTGAACATTAGTGGTGTGTCTAACTGAAGCATTTGTAGTCTTTACATCAGAGGCGGACTGGCCATCGGGAGCGCCGGGACAATTCCCGGTGGCCTGGTTGCCGAGGAACGGGACTAAAGGCTCGGTTCGGGTCGCACGGACTTTATTATTTTAAATAAACAATTCACTTTTGCCTGGGCTCAGGTCTCACGCTGCACTGCAGCGACGGAGAAAGCCTGGCACATCCCCCGGCCGGGCCGGCCCCCTCCCTTCCTTTTCTGTGTGTCACTCACAGAGCAGAGACACTCACACACACATTGCGCCCGCCCCCCTCCCCGCCCTAGGACTCGCGCT